GTAGTACAGTACACCATGGATGCAAAAAAAAAAAAAGGTTTAAAAATTGAATAAAAACTACAGTATTCTTTTTTTTTTTTTTAAATACTGTCATGCGTCAGTATCCCTGATCACCACCACACCAGTCTGATGACACTGTATGGCACTGGTGACAGTATGTAAAAAGGAAAAAAACTTTTTTCTTGAATTTCTTCATTTTTCAAAACAATTGCTACAAAAATATATAACTTCTAAAAACTCGCCATTCCTCCTATTAAATACCTCAGACTGTCTACTTTCCAAAAAGTGGTCATTTGGGGGATATTTGTACTGTCCTGGCATTTTATGGGCCTCAAGAAATGAGATAGGCCATCAGTACATAATAACTGATCAATTTTCAAAAATATATATAATAGTATGTAGATGATATAACTTTCACACAAACCAAGTAATATACCCTTATCATGATTTTTTTTTTCTTTACCAAACACGTAGCAGAATATATTTTGGCCTAAATTTATACAGAAATTTGACTTTATTGGATATATTTTAAAACAGAATGTTTTTTTTTCTTTCATTTTCTATCATTTTTCGTTTATGTATATAACAAAAAAAAAAAAAATCCAGTGGTGATCAAATACAACCAAAACAATGCTCTATTTGTGTGAAAAAAAATGATATATATTCCTTATGGGTATAATGTTGCATGACTGCGCAACTGCCAGTTAAAGTAGCGCCTTGCCAAAAAGCAAAAAATGGGCTGGTCATGAAGGGGGTAAAGCCTTCCAGAGCTCAAGTGTCTATACAAACATGCCACAATGCACTGCATCAGAGAAATGTAAATGAGCCCTCACAGTTCTTTATTCTGTCATATGATAGCTGTAGTTTTAAAGTATGTTTTTTGACCATCCTTCAAATATTTTTTGTTCATATATTTATTATAACAAAATTGATTTTACTGAAACCCAGAGCGGTCATCCATATAATATATAAAATAATATATGTAAGTATATTATATTTTATTTTATTATAAGTACGTTTACATGTACTAATAGTAGCTGAATGTGCATTATACTAAGAAATAGTAATCAGCTGTGCGCAAAAGCTTGCAGTGTATAGAAAATGTATTTTTTAAATGGACAGATACCGCCATCTAGTGTTTTCAATCAGTTATGTCCTACAACATTACTTTTTGTGGGAAATATGTTATAATTATTATTATTATTATTATGCAGGATTTATATAGAGCCAATAGTTTGTGCAGCGCTTTAAAAAATGAAGGCAGACATTACAGTTATAATACAATTTGGTACAAGAGGAAACAGAGTTTATTAAATGTTATCTAGCATTTGGACAGGAAAGAACATTGTCATAGAGAAGAGAACTGCTTGGTACATAGAAATACAGGATAAACAATAATAACTGAAAATGAAGCTATGAGAAAAATTAAGAATAAGTCCTCCCTGTAATATAGATTGATTGCCTATTGATCCTGCCAGTAAACCTGCTGTTTTTTAACTTTATATACATGTTTTGCATTGTATTGTATTGTTATTGTTCTGTCCCCCATTGTAATGTACAGCGCTGAGCGAACTATTGGCGCTTTAGAAATACTGTATAAATAATAATAATAATAATATACAGTCAGGTCCATAAATGTTGGGACATGGACACAATTCTAACAATTTTGGCTCTATACACCACCACAATGGATTTGAAATGAAATGAACAAGATGTGCTTTAACTGCAGACTGTCAGCTTTAATTTGAGGGTATTTACATCCAAATCAGGTCAACGGTGTAGGAATTACAACAGTTTGCATATGTGCCTCCCACTTGTTAAGGGACCAAAAGTAATGGGACAATTGGCTTCTCAGCTGTTCCATGGCCAGGTGTGTGTTATTCCCTCATTATCCCAATTACAATGAGCAGATAAAAGGTCCAGAGTTCATTTCAAGTGTGCTATTTGCATTTGGAATCTGTTGCTATCAACTCTCAAGATGAGATCCAAAGAGCTGTCACTATCAGTGAAGCAAGCCATCATTAGGCTGAAAAAACAAAACAAACCCATCAGAGAGATAGCAAAAACATTAGGCGTGGCCAAAACAACTGTTTGGAACATTCTTAAAAAGAAAGAACGCACCAGTGAGCTCAGCAACACCAAAAGACCCGGAAGACCACGGAAAACAACTGTGGTGGATGAGCGAAGAATTCTTTCCCTGGTAAGGAAAACACCCTTCACAACAGTTGGCCAGATCAAGAACACTCTCCAGGAGGTAGGTGTATGTGTGTCAAAGTCAACAATCAAGAGAAGACTTCACCAGAGTGAATACAGAGGGTTCACCACAAGATGGAAACCATTGGTGAGCCTCAAATACAGGAAGGCCAGATTAGAGTTTGCCAAACGACATCTAAAAAAGCCTTCACAGTTCTGGAACAACATCCTATGGACAGATGAGACCAAGATCAACTTGTACCAGAGTGATGGGAAGAGAAGAGTATGGAGAAGGAAAGGAACTGCTGATGATGCGTCTGGTGATGTCTATGCGTTCCAGACTTTAGGCTGTAATTGACTGCAAAGGATTTGCAACCAAGTATTAAAAGGTGAAAGTTTGATGTATGATTATTATTCTGTCCCATTACTTTTTAACAAGTGGGAGGCACATATGCAAACTGTTGTAATTCCTACACCGTTCACCTGATTTGGATGTAAATACCCTCAAATTAAAGCTGACAGTCTGCAGTTAAAGCACATCTTGTTCGTTTCATTTCAAATCCATTGTGGTGGTGTATAGAGCCAAAAATGTTAGAATTGTGTCAATGTCCCAATATTTATGGACATGACTGTATCATACCAGGCATCCAAATTGGCAGTTAGGAAGATGAAACAAACCTTTTAACAATGTCAAGGGTGCTTTCAAAGGTCAGATTTTACTAATTTATTTAAAACCTTTATCCCAAAAGGAAAAAAAAAAAAAATGTAACTGCTAAAAAAGTGTTAGCTGGAGTTAGGTTTAATTGGTTAGTCGTTTATGTAAAGTCTGTCTAAATCTGCTAATCTATCTAAACTTACCTTCCCTATAGGTGGGCTGATGCCCAAGGGTGGCTATGCTGCTCCTCCATAGATACAGTGAACCAGAAGGTAAAGTCACCCGAAAACCGGCCATAAATTATTATTATTATTATACAGGATTTATATAGTGCCAACAGTTTACACAGCGATTTGCAACATAATGATAGACAGTACCATTACAATACAATTTATTACAGCAGTAATCAGAGGGCCCTGCTCTTTAGAACTTACAATCTATATTTTCATACAAATATTCAGTTGATCATTTGTGCGAAAAGTCTTTGTACATTTGATGACTGGACAAATGTCATTTGAAATTACTTCAAAATTCTGTTTGCTTTTAACATGCAAATTTGCAATTAATTTAATTTCCCAAACGTAAACCACATACATTGTTAGAAATTTGATCAAAAAAAAGATTCCATGCTGCTCCTTCAAAATTTCTCATCACTCTGGCCAAACACGAACATTGATTTGACCCCCACCAACAACTAGAAAATTGAACTAACACTCCTAAAATGAAACATTTTCAAATGAATGTTCCATCTTTAGACGGAAAGTGTGTTACTGGCAGGATCCCCAAATGAAAATAAAGAGAAAAAAGTCAGAAAAAATAAAACGTATGAATCCACCACATCCAAGGATTGGTAAACTAAAATGTTACATTCTTGTTTTTGCCTCAAGATATGTTAACAATGGCTGACATGTTCGTGGTGATCTCTTTATGCGGTCATAGTTTAGACGCTAGTTAGCAACATGTCTTTACTATATTGAATTATGGTAGTGATGTAATACTAAGGTATGTCAGGAAAAAAAATAAAGTAAAATAGGCACTGGGACAACTAGGGATTGGTGTGGGGAACTAGAGGAATAGTTAAAGTGGTTGTAAAGGCTGAAGGTGTTTGTACATTCATGCATTCTATGCGCACCTCCCCCTACAGTCCAGATGCTGACTTGAGCCCCATTTCAATCCAGTGGTGTGCGCCAGAGCAGCGGATCTCCTGGGTCTCTCTCTCTCGTCATTGGCTGAGACACAGCAGTGGGAACCATTGGCTCCACTGTTGTCAATCACACATCCAGTGACGACAGAGAGGGGTGGGACTGAGCCACTCTGTGTGTCTTATAGAGCAAGAAAGCATGGATGCCCACATATCAAGGCTTGCTATGGGGACACATAGCAGGGAGGGGCCAGGTGCACCAGTGGGGGACCTGAGAAGAGGACAATCGGGGCTGCTCTGTACAAAACCACTGTACAGAGAAAGGTAAGTATGTCATGTTTGTTTGTTTTTAAACTGAGCCTTTAACTTTTTGTGCCTAAGGGTAAAACAAATGTTAATGTCTCAGTTAAAGTCATACATATCATCACAACTACAGGTAGATTATTCCTTTTTTTTTTTTTTTTTTTTTTTTTTTTAGGACAAATTGGGCTTTCATTTGGTGGTAAATGGTAATGGATATCCACTGATTTTTTTTTATATTATTATCAAAGTAAAACTGGCCCAAAATAGTAAAAAAAAAACATTTTTTTTTTTTTTAATGCAGATATTTATTTCTTGCTCCAACCGTAATCTACCACCAAAGAACAACCCAAAATAAATTCTCCTTCTCCTGACGATTGCTGTGATACCACATATGTGTATGTTAGTTGATGTTTGTACCCAGTACAGCCAGAAACAATAGTGCACATTTTTTTTCCTACCTAAAACACACCAACACTGACACTGATACTAATTTAAAAAAATAAAATTCAATCCCACCTACAAAAATACTGGTCCTGACCTTGATTCAAATACTAACCCTGGTAATGACCTAGATCAAACTTTGATCTAGCTTTTTTTTTTATTATTATTTTTTTTTTTTACTCACTATTGTTTTTTTTTCTCTGCAAGGAGAGGAGATACAATGTATCTCTCTCCTCCATTCAGAGAGAGAAAACACAGGTGTGGGCTTCAGAGTGACTGATCAGCACAGAGACCAGTGTCACACCAAGCACAGCTGATCTCATGTAAATAGGGAAATGCCGGTTATCGGCATTTCTCTCCTCATGAGCTGTCACACTGACAACTCGAGAGGAGAGGAGAGCCGGTAATCGGCATTCCTCGGAGGGGATATGTACACTGATCATCAGGGCACTGATGATCAGTGTGCCCTGATGATCAGTGTAGCCCCAGCAGTGCCACCTGTCAGTGTCCATCAGTGCCACCTGCCAGTGCCCATCAGTGCCACATCAATGCCACATATCAATGCCCATCTGAGCTGCCTTTCAGTGTCACCTATCTGTGCCAGTCAGAGCCACCTATCAATGCCAGTCAGAGCCACCTATCAGTGCTGCCAATCAGTGCCACCTATCAGTGCCAGTCTGTGCCACTTATCAGTGCCAGTCTGTGCCGACTATCAGTGTGCATCAGTGCCGCCTATCAGTGCCCGTCAGTGCTGCCTATCAGTGCCACCTAACCATGCCCGTCAGTGCTGCCTATCAGTGCCAGTCAGTACCGCCTATCAGTGCCACCTATCAGTGCCGCCTATCAGTACCATATATGAGTGCTGCCTTTCAGTGCCCATCAGTGATGCCTGTCAATGCCCATCAGTGCCACCTACCGGTGCCTCCACATCAGTGCCACCTATCAGTGCCCATCAGTGCAGCCTATCAGTGCCCATCATTGCAGCCTCATTAGCACATATCAGTGAAGGAGAAAAATCACTTATTTACAAAATTTTAAAACAAAAACTAAGAAAAAACTTTTTTTTTCAAAACTTTCAGTTGTTTTTGTTTTTTTTTTTTAGCAAAAAATTAAAAATCCAGTGGTGATTAAATACCACCAAAATAAAGCTCTATCTGTCTCAAAAAAATTATAAAAATTTCATATGGGTACAGTGTTGCAGGACCGAGCAATTGTCATTCAAAGTGCGACACAGCACTGAAAATTGGCCTGGGCAGGAAGGGGGTATAAGTGCCCAGTAGGCCAGTGGTTAAAAAAGAACATATGCGCCCTGCGTGCTCCCAGCAAGCTCCCAACACACATGTCCGGTACTCACGGAAAGGTCCCGATCTCCTCTTTTGATTGGGACCTTTCCCGATCATGTGACCGCCGTGACAGCATGTCACAGTGGTCACATGACCCTAAACCCAGCCCCCGCCTCCCGACTTCTGAAACCCTTAAAGGACCGGCAGGCGCCGGCGTGAAGGGGTTAATTGGCAGATTCCTCTTATTGTGGTTTGGACTGTATGCTCATGCTCTCTTCCACTGGCCTCCTGCGAAGTCTTTGATGTCATTTTGGGTAATTCATTATTATGACTTCAATATGGTATTTTCAATTTTTTGGTCTATTTTGTATAATTTCAGAGTATACTTTTTATCCCTGAAGAAGCGGGCTGTGTCCTGCAAAACGTGTTGGAGAATAAAAACCAAGCATCTACTTGTAACAACTATGCCAGTTATGTAGAACAATAGTAAAGCATTCTCTTTTACCAATTATGCTAGTTATGCTAATTATGATAATCAGGCTATCTGAAGCCTTATTTTGTACTAATTAAGTGTTCTTGCATGGCAAGACCACTTACTGTTATCTCACATATATATTCTTATTATTATAGCCAAATTTACCACCCTAACTCCTCCCACAGTTTTTACACTACATAGACAGTAATATACCGAAACGTGTGGATTGTTCCCGATTGGTGTGCTATTACTTTGTGGAACGTTTCGCCGAATGGTTCACGAAATATTGGCGTTTTTGAGGTGAAACTGGTCCCATAGGAATGAATGGCGGAATGTTCAAAACTAGAGTGGGAGCTGACAAAAGCTAGAGTGGGAGCTGAAAAATCAGGAAATGAATTATAAACTGCCATCACTCCCTCATTTTCAAGCCACCTACACAAATCTTATATCAAAACGTTCAGCTATCCCTGCTGCCACTAAAAATGTCCACAGGTAAGCCATAGTCCTGATAGTTTTCACAATATGACCATTTGTTTGCAACTCACGCCGCCCATTGACATTCATTGAAACTGTACTCTAGCCACCTCAAATTTGAAGGGCAATTTCTAAACTGCGACTGTGCCTTCATTTTTAATATTTCAGAGACATACTATGCATCAAAATGTAGGTCTGGGTCTTGTGATTCTCACAATATAAAGCAGCCACTCCACCCAGTTACTCCGCCCACTCCAGTTGTAGACTACAGGTGGAGGCAAGAACACTTCACACAATTTCCCCAGAAATTGTAGCTTTTCTAGTTTGTTTTTATTGTTTGTTTTTTAGTCTGAGGATAGATCCATGCTTGTCCCTAAAATGTTTGAACAATTTACTATCTATTGACTGGCTCACAACCTGTTTTTATTAGTTTCTGTTATAACATTTTGAAAATAATCTTTCTTCATAAATTTATGCTAAAGTGTATTCTGCTACATTTCTTCAGTAAAAATAACTCAAATCATATATATTATTTAGTCTGTTTGAAAGTTATAGAGTGTACAAACTATAGCATATACTGTACAGTATAATTGAAAATTGATCAATCATGATTTACTGATGGTTTATCTCAATTCATGAGACCCTAAAATGCCAGGACACTAGAAGTGATACCCAAATGACCCCTTTTTGGAAAGCAGACAGTCCAAGGTATTTAGTAAGAAGGATGGTGAGTTTTTTTTGAAGTGGTAATTATTTTGTGACAATTTTTTTTTAAATTTAGAAATTACATTTTTTTTCACATCGTTGTCATTTTAACAAGTTTTTTTTTAACAACTTTACATAGAGGGGCCCACAATTCAAGGAGCACCTTCAGGCATTCTAGGGAGATAAATTACGCATCTAATTTCCTGACTATCTATCACATTTTTGGAGGTTGTAGAGCTAGAAACACCTACAAAATGACCCCATTTTGGAAAGAAAATTCCAAGGTATTTTCTGCAAGGCATTTGGAGTCTTTTGAAAATGTTATTTTTTTCCAAAAGTTTTTTTTTTAAATTCAGGAAAGAAAATGAACATTTATTTTTTTTACACAAAGTTGTCAATTAATAAAAAATATTTCTAACACACAGCATAGGTATGCTTAGTATTACACCCCAAAACACATTCTGCTACTCTTCCCGAGTATGGCGATACCACATGTGTGAGACTTTTTCACAGCCTAGCCATATAGAGGGGCCCAAAATCAAAGGAGCACCTTCGGTCTTTCTAGGGGGATAAATTATGCATCTCATTTCCTGACTACCTACACTTTGGGAGGTTGTAGAGCACCAGGACAGTAGAAACACTCACAAAATGAGCACATTTTGAAAAGCAAACCCCCAATGTATTTTTTAAAGAGGTGAGTCTTTTTTGAAAACATAAGTTTTTGCCACAAGTTTTTGGAAAATGCTGAAAGAAAATGAAAATTACTTTTTTGTAAACAAAGTTGTCAATTTCATAAGATATTTCTCACACACGGCATAGGAAAACTTAGAATTAGACTTCAGAACACATTCTGCTACTCCTTCTAAGTATGGTGATACCACATATGTGAAACTTTTTCACTGTCTGGGCTTACTATATACCGGACATTGTATCTTCTGTATCAAACAAATCCACCAATTGTATCAAAACCAATATACTGCAAAGGTCACCTCTATATGAGTGGTCAGGGAATACTGATTACTGTAGCATCACCTATAGCAGTTCCAGTTCCAGTCAAGCAAGCCTAGCCTACTGGTACATGGCTACCCCCTGGAATGTCATGTTCACTGACCAGGAAATACAGGAGGCTGAAGAAAGGAAAAACAAAAGAGTCGCTGTGGTTCCAGGAGTGCAATTGTTCGTAGGGGATGGCTGGGACTGGTGCTTCACAGGAACAACTGCACAGTAGGATGTACAGATGGGTCAGTTTAGGCCATAGGCAGAGACATGGTCAGCAAGCAGGCAAAGGTTCGGTCCAGTCAACAGGCAGAAAAGTGGTGAATAAACAGACCAGGATCAGTACAGGTGGCAGGCAGTAATACTGCACTACTCTAAAGAATTATTTTTTTTTTTGCACTATGATTACTTATATATCCATGGTGGTTGTATGGTTGTATAAGCAATCACTTTTGACAGTTCCATTGAGAACACTGTGGTAAACTGTGATTGGGTACAGCATTTCACATGGTACAGGGAGGTGATGCTTGGCCCTCTATCATGTGATTACTGGTACCAATCACAGAGCTCACGGTAGTTCTAAATGGCTGCATGAATGGCAGCCATCTTTACTACTAGGCATGGGATAGTTGTAATTGGTCTTAGCAATCATATGGTACCAAGGCAGAGCACCACACCTTGGTACTTGGATCGGTGATCTGCTGTGTCCACTGGTCATGTGACTATGCCAATGTGCACCCCCCGGGGCACACAGGAGGTGCATGGGTACATCCCCCCAGATCGATGCTTGTCCTGTCTGGCTATTTATATGCATTGGCCAGGCGGGAAGCAGTTAAATTGTCACCTATGGGCAGTTTTGTGCACTGAAAATTGCCACTGTTTCATTGGCAGACACAATTTTAATGCTTGACAGGTTGGGTATCTATTTGCTCAGCACAACCTCTTTTGTGTTTTTACCAAAAAATTAGGTCATACCTTGTAATAGTGTGAACTAAAATGAACTGCAACTACCACCATTTTATTCTCCAGGGTTTGTGCCTTCAGAATATGTATACTGTTCAAGGGCTTTAACTAATCTTCATGCCTAATCTTTCACGCAGAAAATGAAAAAAAGGCTCTGGGACTGAAATGGTTAAAACTGAACTGTGAGAGCATGGCTGGATCTAGGGGGGTGCTGGGGTGGGCTATGCCCCCCCCCCCCTACAGATTTTAATTGTGCCCCCAAATGCCAACCCTAACCTGCCACTATACAACCATAGCCTGCCACTATACTACCCTAATCTGATACTTTACCACCCTAGCCTGCCACTATACTGCCCTAACCTGCGAATGTACTGCCCTAATCTGACACTATACCACCCTAATCTGATACTTTACCACCCTAACCTGCCATTATACTGTCCTAATCTGACACTATGCCACCCTAATCTGATACTTTACCACCCTAGCCTGCCACTATACTGCCCTAACCTGCGAATGTACTGCCCTAATCTGACACTATACCACCCTAATCTGATACTTTACCACCCTAACCTGCCATTATACTGTCCTAATCTGACACTATGCCACCCTAATCTGATACTTTACCACCCTAGCCTGCCACTATACAGCCCTAACCTGCCATTGTACTGCTCTAATCTGACACTATACCACCCTAATCTGATACTTTACCACCATAGCCTGCCATTATACTGCCCTAACCTGCCACTATACTGCCCTAATCTGATAGTTTACCACTCTAGTTTGACACTACTGTATACTGCCCTAGCCTGACACTATACTGTCCTTGACTGACACTATGCTGATCTCAGGTATGTGTTGTGTGGGG